AGGTAGGTTGGTTCTGTACCTTGACCACTGTTAGGAGTGCTTCAGTATCCATGGAAAGGCAGATAGCTCTCTTCAAACTAGGGATTTCAACTGCTTTAAATGTGGTGGGGCTGCTAGCTGACATGGTAGTTGTACTGTGAATTTTTTCAGGAAGGTTTAGCTGTTTTTCATAGTATGTATACTAATTTATATCCCCACCAATAGTATTTAAGAGGTTACCCTTCTGTAAGTCTACACTGGCTGGTGCCTTCAAAAATTTGTGTTTTGTTTTTGGTATACTCATTCTGAGTGGAATGAGACAGTATCTTAGTGTGGTTTTCATGGACACTTTTGTGAGATTAGTGATGTTAAGAAAGTTACTTGAGAAATCCCCACATCGTTTACCATGGTGTCTGAACTAGTTTGCATTTCCACCAACAGCAGACCAGCATCCCTCTCCTCCTCTGCCTTGATGGCATTCATTCTTGTGGACTGTGTCATAATCATCATTCTGACCAGTGTGAAATACTATCTCATGGGCCTTTTGCTTTGCATTTCTTTGGTGATAACTGTGGTAGAGAAGTATTGTCATGTCTGCTTGTTGCTGTAAGCCGCCTTTTGAGTTGCGTATTTTCATGCCCCTTGCCCTTTCTTCATTGGGTTTTTGTTTTGCTGATTTATTTGCTTAATGTCTTTAAGGTAGATCCTGGATATTAGACTTCATCCAGGATCTAATTTGCTGATTTATTTGCTTAATGTCTTTATAGTAGTTCCTCGATATTAGACTTCATCAGATGCATATGTGGAAACATTTCTCCCATTGTGTAGGCTGTTTATCCTGTGGGTAACTTCTGCTGCTGGGCAGCAGCTCTTTTGTGTCTTAGGTCATACTTGTCAATAATTGTAGTTGCATTTGCTTTTGGAGACTTAGGCATATCCATGCTGTGCCAAATCCTCTGTCAAGAAGGGTATTTCCTAGGTTCTCTTGCATGCTTTTCATAGTTTGACACCTTGCATTTACATTTTTGATTCATTTTATGTTTATTTCTATACACCATGAGACACAGGAAGGGCCAACTGTTTTTCTTCTGCAACTGTCTAGCCATTTATCCCAGTACCATCTATTGAGAGGAGGGAGTCCTTTCTTCGTAGCTTATTTTTTGTGGATTTTGTTGAATATCAGATGGTTTTAGGGGTGTGGGTTTACGTCTGGCTTGTGTCATCTATTCCACTGCTTTGTATGGAATGGGTTTCCTAGCTTTTCAATGAAATTTAAAATCGGTAAGTGTGACACAACCCATGTTGTGTTTGGATTTCTTGGGATTGCTTTGGAAATTCTGGGTGTTTCGTGGTCCATATTAATTTCAGCGTTGCATATTTATGTACTTTTTAAAAGGTTAGCCATATGGTAAATATATACAATGGGGGGAATTAGAGTGGGGCATTTTGGTTAGTGTAGCACAGAAGAATTATAAAATCAGAATATTTAAAGTCTCTATTATCACAAACAGTTGTTAATTTCTTTGTGGTGAAAATATTTGGAATCTTCCAGATTTTGTGAAAAAGGTGTGATGTGTTAACCTCTAGTCACTGTGCTGTGGAACACAGAGGAAAAATTCATTCCTCTAAGTGTAACTTTCTACCTGTTTCTGATCCCTGCCCATGTTCCCTCTTCCCTCCAGCCTCTGGTAACCACTATTGTGCTTTCTAAACCTGTGCACTAAAGCCTTTTATTTTGAATGCTACATGAGTGAGATGTGGCAGTGTTTTCTTTTTTTCTCTGCCTGGCATAGGTCATACACCATGATGTCCTCCAGGTTTAACAGTATGGCTCCAAATGATGAAATTTCATTCTGTTTTTCTGGCTGAAGACTATTTTATTTGTGTACATCTACCACAGTTACTTTATCCCTTCATCTGTGGATGGGCAGGTAAGTTTATTCTTTATGTTGGCAATTGTGAAGAGTGCTATAGTCCATATAGGATAGTAGATATCTCTTGCATGGGCTGATTTCTTCTGTACCGGAAGTATCCTTAGTAGTATAATTGTTAGATGAAGTGGTAGTTGTAGGTTTAATTTTTGGAGGAACCTTCCACTGGTTTCTGTACTATGTCTACTAATTGACATTCTTACTAAATGAGTTCCTCTGTGGAAATTTACACCAGCATTTGTGTCTCTTTTAATTGTATTTTATTGCTTTCATAACATCCGTTTGAATTATAGTGAGATGATGTGTGTTGTTTTGATTTACATTTTTCTCATGATTTGTGATGTTATCCAGGTTTTTAAAATTTGTTTTCAGTGTTATGTCTTCTTTGCAGAAATGTCTATTCAGGTTCTTTTGCCCCATTTTTTTTGGTTATTAGTTTCTCTTGTGTTTTTTGCTAGTAAGTAGTGTTTATTGCTTAGACATTTTGAATGCAGCCTTTTAGCAGATGTATGTTTGCCTAAACCTTTCTTGTAAACTTCAGGATAATTTTTTATTTTATTCATGGATTTTTTTTTAACTGCTTGGGCACAAACTCTAGAGTGTCATGCTGTCCCACGTGTGTCTGTTTTCTTGCTTCCCTGTGATGTAGGTTACCGATGAAGAAAAACAAAATCATGACAAAACTAATCCATCAGTTATGATTTTCCCCCCTGTATTTTTTTGTTTTGTTTTGGCACACTGTGAGCACAGATCCACATTGACCTAAATATACCCACACCATATGTCTTGTCATTGGAGGTGCTTGATGCTTTCAAGTTTTTTATATGAGTTGCTAATTCATTTTGAGTTTATTGTTGTACCTTTTACACAATAGGGGTTCTATTTTATTTTCCATAGCGATATCCAAGTTTCAAAACAATTTATTAAACAGATTCCCCCTTCTTTTCTGTGTCTTTTGGTGTTCTTTTACAAAATGTGTACTCTACGTAGGAGTTTGGGTTTCTGATTGAGCTCCCCTTTTCTGTCTGTTGGTCTGCGTTTCTTGTTTAGTGCCAGTCATCTATTGTTTAGATAATAGCTTTTCAATATTTCAAATGGAGGACAGTGATGCATCCCATGTACTTTCTATTTCCAGGATTTCTTTCAATATTCAGGGTGTTTCATGGTTCCGTGTGAATTTTAGCATCATTGGCATCCTTTTTTGTTTTGTTTTGTTTTGTTTTTTAAAGAGATTACCATAAAGAATATGTATGTAACTAGAGGATTCGGGGGACATTTTGATATAGGTGCATCTAGTCTATTGTTCAAATCACAATGTTTACCATCTGTGATGTTCTCTAGGTACTATTTGTCTGTGGAGAGGATATTCAGAATCCTTACCAACTATTTGAAAAATACACTACAATATTAACCCTAGTCACCCTGCTATAGAAAAGAAGGGCAGGATCGATCTCAGTTTTCTAAGCGTAGCTTGGTACCAATCACCAATCCCTGACCAGGCTCCTTCCTCCTCACAGCCTCTGGTAACCACTGTTGAACTTTCTACTGCCATGAGGTCAAGTGTTTTAGATTTCATATTCATGAGTTCATGCTGTATATGCCTTTCTGTGTTTGACTCATTTTATTTAACATAATGTCCCTCAGGTTTTTCTACGTGGCTGCAAATGACTAGATTTCACCCATTTCTGTAGTTGAAGACTATTCCATTCTGAATGTATGTTGCAGTTTCCTCACTCCTTAATCAATGGATGAACAGGTAGGTGTATTTCCTATCTTGGCTTTTGTGAGTACTGCAGTACACAGGGTAAGGCAGGTATCTCTTCCACATAGGAATTTCATTGGCTGCAAATGTGCAGCCAGTGGTGGGATGGCTAGATGAAATGGTATTTTTACTTTGTTTGAGAAACTTCTAGTTGTTTTTCCTAGTGTGTGTACAAATTGACATTCCCATCTATAGGGTATGAGAAGATTTTCCCCTTCTGCAAGTCTGTACCAGCCGTTTTCATTTCAAACTCTTATTTTTGTTTTAGGTAACATTCATTCTATGTGGTTGGAGGTTGTATCTCAGTGTGGTTTTTCTTGACTTTCTCGTGAGGATTAGAGCTTTTAAGAAACTTTTCTTTTACCTGTGCGTTAATTTCACATCTGCTTTTCAGACATGTCTATTCAGGTCCTTTGCCCAAATTTAGCTTGCATATTTGTTTTTGTTCCTTTTTCTGTTTTTTCCCCACATGGTAGTGTTAAGTTTCTTGCACATATTTTATAATGACTCCTTTCAAAAACAGGATTTTCCATAGTTTTATTTCAGTCTGTGAGGTGCCTTGTCTTCTGGTCCATTGTTTTCATTTCCCTGCATAAGATCCAATGTTTTCCATAGTCCCACATGTTTATATATTAGTGGTGACTTCTGTGTGCAGTTTAAAATAGTGAAAAAGATTGCCAACCCATGATGTTGCCTGTGGTTCTTTTTCTTCAAATATTTTTTTCTTATTTTTATATTTTACACTTTGCATCTTGTGTGCATAGATTAGTCTTCTGAAATATACACCCGCCCTATATTCCTAAGGGAAGTAAGTGGTTTCAGGATTGTGTTTAGGTCTTCAATTTGGTTTACGTTGATTTTTGTCCTATTTCATTGTTTTCGTGTAGTTACGTAGTTTGGTCAACATCTTTTATTGAATAGACTTTTCCCATTGTGTCTTTGTGTTCTTTTGAAAAATGTGTTCACTGTATGTACATTTGGATGACATATGGGACTCCCTCAATCTATCCATTGGGTAGCCTTTTTTAAAATTATACTTTCAGTTCTGGGGTATATGCACAAAATGCACAGGTTTGTTACATAGGTATACCTGTGCCATGGTGGATTGCTGCTTCCATCCCCCCCCATCATCTACATTAGGTTTTTCTCCTGTTAGCCCTCCCCAATCCCCCCACCCCCTGCTATGCCTCCCCTAATTCCCCCAACCCCTGACAGGCCCTGGTATGTGATGTTCCCTGCCCCCACCACTGTGTCCATGTGTTCTAATTGTTCAACCCTTACTTATGCATGAGAACATGCAATATTTGGTTTTCTGTTCTTGTGTTAGTTTGCTGAGAATGATGGTTTCCAGCTTCATCTATGTCCCTGCAAAGGACATGAACTCATCCTTTTTTATGGCTGCTTAGTATTCCATGGTGTATATGTGTCATATTTTCTTTATCAAGTCTGTCTTTTAATGGGTATTTGGGTAGCCTGTTTGGATACAGACAGGTTTTAGTTGTTTTATCTCTTTGCCCACTTAGTACCTTTAGTTTCTTGCATCTGTTAGATAACAGTTCCTTTCAGATACATGATTTTCCATAATTTTATCCCAATCTGTAATATACCTTTTCTTTGGGTTCATTGTTTTCTCCTTGAGAAATTTTAAAGTTGTCCTTCGTCTAACATGTTTACATTTGCTTTTGTTAGCAGTGATTTCTGTGTCCCATTGGGAGATAAAAGGAGAGAGATGGCAAAGGCATTGTATTATTTATGAGTATAATCTCAATAAGTTTTTCTTTTGGCAAATGGTGTAAGCAGATTCAAATTTCCTCAAAATAGTCACCCTATGTTTTTTCTCGGGAGCTTTTCTGGTTTCAGGATTAGACTTAGGTGTTCATTTTCTGTTGCTGTTTGTGTCTTGTGCAACATAGGGGTCTTTTTCAGTCCCTTGCACATGAATACCCAGGTTTCTGAACTTGGGGCCTTTGGTGTGTTTCTGAAAAATGTGTTTATGCTATATATTTTGGTCTGATTATTTGGCTCCCTCATTTGGTCCATTTGGTTATCTTTCTGTGCCTATGCCACTAATGGATGGAGAGGGTTGGTGTAAGTTTTGTTTTGTTTTCTTGTGTGTGTTTTTCTTTTCTTTTTTTTTTTAGTTTTCAATCTTGATTTTCTAAAAGAATACCTACTTTTACTGTTATTAACAATGTTATGAACACAGTGCCAGTCGGGTGGTTTATCAGTGTAGAATCTCTAATTCAATAGGGGTAAATGTTAATTAAATTATAGAAATAACAGAGACATTTATCAACAGAGGGCTTTCATCCACACATGAGCTCTTCATATGTTGATACAATGCCTTCTAATATTTATAACTTTTACTTTTATATCCATATGTCATATTTGTCTGTAGTATTCAGTGTGTCTCAATCCAGTGAATGATGTTATCACAGAAGAGACCAACCACATGTGGACATGGAGTGGGTCATTACAAGGTAGGGTAGTTAACCTGAACCCTAAGCTGGCACAGAGAGGAGAAGCCACAGTCCTTTAGAGAGGAAAAAATTACAGTGTATAAATATCTTTTGTTAAGAGAAACAGAGACCATCTACAGAGGATATAATAATATTAAAATGTGGTCTCATTGTTCAGCTCCCACTTATGAGTGAGAACATGTAATGTTTGGTTTTCTATTTCTGTGTTAGTTTGCTGAGGATGATGACTTTCAGCTTCATCCATGTCCCTGCAGAGGATGTGATCTCATACCCTTTTATGGCAGCATAGTATTCCATGGTGTATATGTAGCACATTTTCTTTATCCAGCCTACCACTTATGAGCATATGAGTTGGTTACATGTCTTTCCTATTGTGAATTGTGCTGCAAAAAACATACATGGAGCAGATTGTGCTCAGAGCAAGATGGAGCTCCAAGCATGATGGAGCTCAGAGCAGACTGAGCCCCAGGTGAGATGTTGCTCCAAGCAATATGAATCTTGGAGCAGATGTTGCACAGAGTAAAAGATGGAGCTCCAAGCGTATAGTCTCAGAGCAAAATGGAGCTCAGAGCAGACGGTGCTCAGAGCAAGATGGAGTTTGGAGTGATTGGAGTTCTGAGCAAGGTGGAGCTCAGAGCAGATGGTGCTAAGAGCAAGATGGAGCTTGCAGTGAATGGAGCTCACAGTCATTGGAGCTCTGAGCAGATGGAGCTCAGAACAGTTGGTTCTCAGAGTAAGATGAAGCCTGGAGTGGTTGGATCTCAGAGCAGATGGTGCTCAGAGCAAGATGGAGCTTGGAGTGGTTGAAGCTCCGAGCTACATGGAACTTGGAGCAGATGGAGCTCTGAGCAAGATAGATCTCAGAGCAGCCGGAGCACTGAGCAGATTAAGCTCAGACAAGAAGGAGCTCCAAGCAAGATGGAGCTTGGAGCTGATGTTCCTCTGTATAAGACAGAGCTCAGAGCTACATGGAGCTTGTAGTGATAGGCGCTCAGAGCAGATGGTGCTCAGAGAAAGATGGAGCTCAGAGTGATTGGACCTGTGAGCAAGGTGGAGCTCAGAAAATAAGGAGCTCCAACCAAAGTGGAGCTTGGAGCTGACGTTCCTCTGTGAAAGATGGAGCTAAGAGGTAGATGAAGCTTGGAGTGATAGGAGCTCAAAGCAGATGGTGCTCACAGCAAGATGGAGCTCTGAGCAAGATGGAGCTTGGAGAAGATGGAGGTCTGAGCAAGATAGAGCTCTGAGCAGATGGAGCTCTGAGCAAGATAGAGCTCTGAGCAGATGGAGCTCAGAAAAAAGGGAGCTCTAAGCAAGATGGAGCTTGGAGCTGATGTTTTTCTGTGTAAGATGGAGCTCAGAGCCAGATGGATATTGCAGTGATAGGAGCTCAGAGCAGATGGTTCTCAGAGCAAGATGGAGCTTGGAGTGATAGGAGCTCAGAGCAGATGGTGCTCAGAGCAAGATGGAGCTTGGAGTGATTAGAGCTCCAAGCAAGATGGAACTTGGAGCAGATGGATCTCTGAGCAAGATGGAGCTCAGACTGATTGGACCTCTGAGCATGGTGGAGCTCAGAGCAGATCGTTCTCAGAGCAAGATGGAGCTTGGAGTGATAGGAGCTCAGAGCAGATGGTGCTCAGAGCAGGATGGAGCATGGAGTGTGATTGGAGCTCTGAACAAGATGGAGCTTGGAGCAGATGGAGCTCTAAGCAAGACAGACCTCAGAGCAGGCAGAGCTCTAAGCAGATGAAGCTCTGAGCAGATTAAGCTCAGGAAAGAAGGAGCTCCAAGCAAGATGGAGCTTTGAGCTGATGTTCCTCTGTGTAAGAGGGAGCTAAGAGCTAGATGGAGCTTGGCATGAAAGGAGCTCAGAGCAGATGGTGCTCAGAGCAAGATGGAGCTTGGCGTGATAGGAGCTCAGAGCAGATGGTGCTCAGAGCAAGATGGAGCTCTGAGCAACATAGAACTCAGAGCAGATGAAGCTCTGAGCAGATGAAGCTCAGATAAGAAGGAGCTCCAAGCAAGATGGAGCTTTGAGCTGATGTTCCTCTGTGTAAGAGGGAGCTAAGAGCTAGATGGAGAGATGGAGCTTGACATGAAAGGAGCTCAGAGCAGATGGTGCTCAGAGCATGATGGAGCTCAGACTGATTGAACCTCTGAGCATGGTGGAGCTCAGAGCAGATGGTTCTCAGAGCAAGATGGAGCCTGGAGTGGTTGGAGCTCAGAGCAGATGGTGCTCAGAGCAAGGTGGAGCTTGAAGCGATTGGACCTCCAAGCAAGACAGAACTTGGAGCAGATGGAGCTCTGAGCAAGATAGACTTCAGAGCAGGCAGAGCTCTAAGCAGGTGAAGCTCTGAGCAGATTAAGCTCAGAAAAGAAGGAGCTCCAAGCAAGATGGAGGTTTGAGCTGATGTTCCTCTGTGTAAGATGGAGCTCAGAGCTAGATGGAGCTTGGGGTGATAGGAGCTCAGAGCAGATGGTGCTTAGAGGTAGATGGAGCTCAGACTGATTGGACCCCTGAGCACGGTGGAGCTCAGAGCAGACGGTTCTCAAAGCAAGATGGAATTTGGGGTGATTGGAGCTCTGAGCAAGAATGGAGCTTGGAGCAGATGGAGCTCTGAGCAAGATAGACCTCAGAGCAGATGGAGCTCTAAGCAGATGAAGCTCTGAGCAGATTAAGCTCAGAAAAGAAGGAGCTCCAAGCAAGATGGAGCTTTGAGCTGATGTTCTTCTGTGTAAGAGGGAGCTCAGAGCTAGATGGAGCTTGGCGTGAAAGGAGCTCAGAGCAATTGGGAGCTCAGAGTGATTGGAGCACTGAGCAAGTTGGAGCTTGGAGCAGATGGAGCTCTGAGCAAGATAGAGCTCAGAGCAGATGGAGCTCTGAACAGATTAAGCACAGAAAAGAAGGAGCTCCAAACAAGATTGAAGTTGGAGCTTATGTTCCTCTGTACAAGATAGAGCACCGAGCAAGATAGAGCTCTGTACAAGATGGTGCTTAGAGCAAATGGAGCTCTGAATGATAAAGAATTGTAAACAAGATGGAGCTTGGTGCAGATGTTGCTTGGTTTGAAGTGGAGCTCAGAGCAGATGGTGCTAACAGCAGGATGGAGCTCAGAGCGATTAGAGCTCCAAGCAAGATGGACCTTGGAGATGATGGTGCTTTGAGCAACATGGAACTCGGAGGAAATGTTGTTTAGAGTAAGGAGGAGTTCTTAGCAAATTGTACTCAGAGCAAGATGGAGCTTGGATAAGATGTCGTTCACAGTGCGATGGAGCTCTGAGCAAATGGTACTTAGAGCAAGATGGAACTCCAAGTAGATGGTGCTCAGAACAAAATGGAGCTCGAAGTGGTTGGAGCTCTTAGCAAGGTGGAGCTCTAAGCAGATGGTGCTCAGAGCAAGGTGGGGCTCAAAGAAGATGTTGTTTACAGTGAGATGTAGCTCCAAGTAGATGATGCTTAGTGCAAGATGGAACTCTAGAGTAATTGGAGCTCTGAGCAAGATCGAGCATGGAGCAAGTGGAACTCTGAGTAGATGGGATTAGAGCAGATGGTGCTCAGAGCAAGATGGAGCTCTGAGCAAATTGTGCCCAGAACAAGATGGAGATCAGAGTAGATGGAGCTCTAAGCAAGATGAAGCTCAGAGTAGATGGTGCTCAGAGCAAGATGGAGCTCTGAGGATATAGTACTCACAGCAAGATGGAGCTTAGAGAGATTGGAGCTCAGAACAGATGGAGCTCACAGAAATTGCTCCCAACAAGATGGACCTCCAAGTAGATGGTAATTAGAGCAATCTGGAGCTCCAAGCAGATGGTGCTCAGAGCAAGATGAACCTCAGAATGATTAGAACTCTGAGAAAAATAAAACAATGTGCAGATGGTGCTTAAAGCAAGATAGAGCTCAGAGTGATTGGAGCTCTGAGCAAGATGGAACTAGGAGGAGATAGAGCTTTGAGCAAGAAGTACCTCCAAGTAAGATGGAGTTTCCAGAAGTTCTTGCCTGGTGTACGATGGCGCTCAGAGCAAGATGGAGCTTGGAGTGATTGGAACTGTGAACATTTCTCTGAGCAAGATGGATCTCTGAGCAAGAAGGAGCTCTAAGCAAGATGGAGCTTGGGACAGACATTGCTCGGTTTTAGATGGAACTCAGAGTGATGAGAGCTCCAAGCAAGATGGAGCTCAGAGAAGATGGAGCTCAGAGCAGATAGAGCTCTGAACAAAACGAGCTCCAAGCAAAATGGAACTTGGAGCAGATGTTGCTTGGTGTAAGATGGAGCTCAGAGCAGATGGTGCTCAGAGCAAGATGGAGTTTGGAGTGCTTGGAGCTCTCAGAAAAATAGGGCTTGAAGCAAATGGAACTCCAAGTAGATGAAACTCTGAGCAGATGGTGCGCAGTGCAAAATGGAGCTCAGAGTGATAAGAGCTCTAAGCAAGATGAGCTCAGAGCAGATGGAGCTTCAAGCAGATGGTGCTCAGAGCAAGATGGAACTTGGAGTGATTGGAGCTTCGAACCAGATGGAGCTTGGATCAGATAGACCCCTGAGCAACAAGGAGCTCCAAACAAGCTGGAGCTTGGAGCAGATGTTGCTGGTGTAAGATGGACCACAGAGCAGATAGTACTTAGAGTAAGAGGCAGCTCAGAGTGATTGGCACTCCTGAACCTTGATCTGAACAATTGGAGCTCTGAGCCAGATGCAGCTTGGAGTAGATAGAGCTCTGAGCAAAATGAGCTCTAAGCAAGATGGAGTTTGGAGGAGATGTTGCTAGGTTTTGGAGCTCATAGCAAATGGAGCCCACAATGATTATAGCTCCAAGCAAGGTGGAGCTCAGAGCACATGTTGCTCAGAGTAAGATGAACTTGACCAGATGGTGCTCAGAGCAAAAAGGAGCTGGAAGTGATTGGAGCTCCCAGCAAGATGGAACACAGAGTGATTAGAACTTCCAGCAAGATGGAGCTCAGAGTAAATGGATCTGATTAGATGAAGCTCTGAGTAAGATAAATGTCTATGCAGATGGTGTTCAGAGAAAGTGCTTAGAGTGATTGGAGCTGTGCGCAAGATGGAGCTTGGAATAAAGAGAGCTTGAAGCCAGAAAGACCTCCGAGCAAGATGGAGCTTGCAGCAGATGTTGCTCTGTGTAAGGTGGAGCCCAGAAAAGATGATGCTCACAGCAAGATTGAGCTCAGAGTGATTGGAACTCCAAACATTGCTCTGAGCCATTGGCGTTTGGAGTAGATTGTGATCAGAGCAAGACAGTGTTCAGAGTGATTGGAGCTCCAAGCAAGCTGAAGCTTGGAGAAGATGGAGCTCAGAAAAGATGATGTTTACAGTAAGATGGAGCTCCGAGCAGATGATGCTAAGAGCAAAATGGAGCTCAGAGTGATTGGAGCTCCAAGCAAGCTGGAGCTCAGAGCAGATGGACTTGGAAAAGAGACACATCATTTGTGGTATATTTCATTCACTCATGGTGACTTTTTAAACAACACATTATTTAGACATCATTTGGGAAAAAAATTAACACTCAGCATTTATATTTTGCAATCCTACAGAAGGAATTTCTAGCAGATTTTAGTACCAAACTTCCAGTGAAGAAACAGACCAGATATTTATTGGCCACATATATTGTGATGCCAGTCCTACGATCACCTTGCAATGGAAAGTTTAATGACAGTTTAGATCTCAACACAATACATAATCAAAAAGAAGACAAATATTAGAATAGAGAACTACTTGTCAAAGGTTAGTTACAGTATCTCTTTAGTTTTCAGATTTCTAACATAATTCTTGTATTTTTCTGTTAACAGATCACAGCAGGTCCAAGAACACATTAGAGATCTTATAGACCAGGCCTCTCACCTTTGGTAAAGGGATAATGAGTTGGCTCAGCCTGGGTGTCACCTGGTCTTCATTCTCATAGTTATTCCCTTTCCTGGAACCCCTGGCCTCTGTCTTCCTTCTCCTTTTTGAGCCTTGCTCTCTGAATCTTCTCAGTTTATTTCCTTCCACCTGAAAACCATCAGACTTCAAATGGTCTTGTGATGGGGATATCAACCTCTTTTTTTCCCTCCAGGACAACCAAGTCCCTGTATGTCTCCTCTGGACAGCACGGATGAAATCTTCTAAGAGACAATCGTCAAAACCTGCCCACTATGACAGCAAGCAAGGAGGAAGGCCCTGAAGACCCTTAATGCCCCCTTTTCAGCAGGAATTAGCTACAGAGAATGACTTCTGCCCCATCTCCCAAAAGATTTTTGGGTCCCAACCACTTGACGAAGAAATGTAAGACAGATAGCAGGCATAAGGGGGAGGTATCCATGTTGGAAAGAACTCCCGGAACACCTCTTTGGATGCTCAGTACTCATTCCATCTTCAAACTGTCAGAATGTTGTTAACTAGATCATGATAAGGAAAAAAGGCAAAGGGGAATTCCTGAGAGCTGAGCAGGCACAATGAGTACAAAATTGACTGTTATACCTTCCCGGGGTGGTGATAATATGCAGTGCCACCATTAGGTAGGATTCATATTGATGTTTCCCAAGCATGTGCATTAAGCACAATAAGTAAGGGAGGATCCCCCAAACTTTGGTGAGAACCGGCTAAAGAAAGAACTGAGGCAATAGAAGATCACCATGCAGAATGTCATGGGGATGTTTCCAGCAGGGTCAGCCCATCCTCTCTTGGAGTGTATTTGTACTTTCAAATTAAACTTGTTTTAATTTACAAATTGGTCTTTTGTGTAAATTCTTTCTTCCACGAAGACAACCAAGGATAGCCTGGGTAACATCTTCATGTGATTTCACTCATAGTAATATGAGTCTATTTCTGGGGAACTTAAAGTGAATCCAATAATGACAAGGAGTATCAATTACAGAGTTGGTAAAGAAAAAATAGTTAAACTGTGCTTGACTTATTAACAAACTTATCTAGGGTTTGACCGTTTTTCAACTGGGTGAAAGTCACAGAATCTGGGTGCAGTAATGCACAATTGTAGTCCCAGCTACTCCAGAGGCTGAGGCAAAAAGATCTCTTAAGCCCAGGAGTCCAAGGATGTACTGTGAAATGATGGTGCCAGTGAACAGCCACTGCACCCTATCACTGCAGCCTGGGCAACAGCATGACCCTGTCTCTTGAAAATACTACAATTATAAAACATTTGTTTTAACAAAAATAAATTGTAACTTTTTCGTCTCATTTTTATTTTAAAAATTCAGTAAATGCACTTTAACTTGTAGTTTTGATGGTGTTTTTATGATCTCAACGCCCAGTGAAGTAATATAAGCCCATGTTAAAGGAGGCCTCAAATTTCTTTCTTAACCTGGTTCCTGCACTAGCACATCATAAAAAAGCAAATCCAATGTTTTTAGGAAAGCACTGCAGCGGATAAAAGAGAACAAATTAAACGGTGGTTCTAATACATAAATTACAAACTCCCTGCTAGCTGATTTAAAAAATCTTATTGCTTTGTGTTATTTCTCTACAAAAATAATAGGATGAGAGTCTAAGTGCTTTAGAGTCATGAAATTTTGCCACTGGGTGGAAAAAGAAAATGAAAACTTCTGTAAATTAAGCATGGTGAAAACGTAAATGTTCTCAGTTTTTGCCAGCAAAATCAGGTAGTATGTCATTTTACAAGATGACAATGAAGAGTATGCTAATGAAGTTTTATAGTTTGCCAAGTCATGTTAGAGTTAATACATGATTCAAAATTATTCTGTCAAGACAGAAAGGTATGATTCCATAATCACTGCAGGATACCTTGAAAGAATTTTAATATGGTTGCTGTCTACTAAATTCTTAAGTTACAGAAAGATGACTTCTAGAGTTGTTAGTGTAAATTGATTTTAAACAGTGATGAACTTTCTTGATGCCTTTCATGTTGGATTTTAATATGATATTATTTTCAAGCAGAAGCCATTTTTTTCATTCTGTGATGAGCTAAAGGATGGCATAACAACAAGTGCTCAATGAAGATACCAAGAGAGTAGTGCATGAATATTATATCTGTCCAGTGTTGTTAGACTGCTTTTTGCAAATGACATTTGTCATGGCCGGAAAAGCCAGAAAGATAGAAGAAAAAGCTGTTTTCCACCAAATATTGGCAAAAGTCTGGAGAAGGGAGTGGATACATATGTAAAGGTCATCTACAGCAAACCACTGTGGAGTATAAAGTGTGCTCCAGCTTGGAGCTGCAGCCACTCAAGCTGTGCCTGTGAACTGTGCATCTCTGCACTCTCAGGGGCCCAGGAAGGCCCTCCTCCCCTCCCCCCATAGGCTCGGCAGTGTCTGCTCTTGCTACCTGGTCTCTCCACACTCCCGGTGCCCACTCCAATCTTGGAGCAAGGTTGGCGCTGAGCCCACGCACTGTCTCGGCCCAGCTGGGTGTGTGCACACTTGGGGCAGCACTGATATGCCAGCCCCCTGCTGCCTTGGCCCCCTCTGGACTTTGGGCACTGAGGAGCACAGGCTCCAAAGTTACAAAATACTGCTTCTCCAGGTCTGTCCCACCTTTTCTGCAGAAGTCTGAGTACCCCTCAGACACCTCCTAGATAGATCCAGGTATCTCAAAATGCCACTGGCCTCTGCAATCAGGGCTGCTATCTCTCGGCAGCAGGCCAGGCTGCTGTTCTGCCCAGGCCCTAAGGCATGACCTCCTGCCTGACACTGTGGCTGCAGATGCCCTGAGCTGCTTTAATTTATTATTATTTTCATTCTCTGGATGCTGGAGTCCGTGGTGAATTGTAGGGGGACAATCAGAATGACAGTCACAGTGTTCCACTCAGGATTGCCCCCTGGACCTTTCAACCAAGCAGGAGCCTTAACTCTGCACCCTTGGGAGAAGGGGCTCTTTCCCGGAGGCTCCCTGGTCTTGAGGGGGCCTGCTTCCCACTCCCAACCCAGTCCTCCAGGCAGGCCTGTCTCCTGGGGCCTCTGCCATGGGCTTTTTCCCATAAACATATACAGTCCTCAGAAAAGTGCTTGGGATAGTGCTTGGCACTTAGTAAACACTGTGTAAGAATGCTTATTGGCCAGAAG